CTGATATGTCTGGTATGCATGTATATGCGAATATGTTAGTACCTTATTGGTTAGGCATGAAAGACCCCGGGGGAGCCCGTGGCAGTTGGATATCAGATCATGGGGGAGCCCATGACATTCCAGGTAAAGACCATGGGGGGAGCCCATGACATATCAGTATAAGACCCTGGGGGGAGCCCACGACATCCTGGAGTAAGACCCTGGAGGGAGTCCACGACATCCCTATATGTTTATATATGTGTAGTATGCTAGTTATTTCTGTGATATGTGGTATGCTAGATTGACTCTGTGTTATTTGCAGTGTTGCAAAACTCGGCCTACTCGGCCGAGTACTCGGAATCGGCCCTCCACCGAGGCGAGTTATGTGGACTCGGCAATAAAACTCGGATTAAGTCAAACTCGGTCAAAATCTCCCTAACTCGGCCTACTCAGTCTTACTCGGGCCTACTCGGTCAACAAAGTCAAACTCGGCCTACTCGGTCAAACTCGGTCAAAGGGTCAAAATTGTCATAAAAAGAGAAAAAAATAAAGAATTTCAAGATTAATATGTATAATACACTTAATGATTTATTATTTAACACACATGTGATTATTAGTACATATATATATCTTAAATTTTCAGTAATTATTCACGAAGTGAGACAATTGTGTATATTTCAATTTTTATGTATTCATATGTATCTAATTTTGTTATATATTTCAATTAAATTATGATTTTAACTTATGATTTTGACGTATATAATTTTCCTAAAATATTTCTACATGAATTACCGAATCCGAGTACTCCCCGAGTATTCCCGAGTACTCGCTACTCGGTAGTCGGCCGAGCAGGCACCGAGTAGCGAGTTCTACAACCTTTGGTTATTTGTATGGAAGACCCCGGGGGGAACCCATGGCAGTTGGATATCAGACCATGGGGGGAGCCCATGGCATGTAGGTATAAGACCCTGGGGGGAGCCCATGGCATCCTGGAGTAAGACATTTGAGGGTTTCCACGACATCCTTATATGTTTGTATGCATGGGTTATGTGGTTTATGTAGCTAATATAACTAATATGGATTATGTGCTTATGTGGATTGTGTGGGGTATGCTCTGGGGAACTCATTAAGCATTAGCTTACAATTTGTTGGTTGTTTCAGGTACTTCAGAGCCTAAGGGCAAGGGCCCGACTTGATGGCGCGACATGCACTCTCCGACATTTATTTGGGGACACTCTGATATTATGAATAAAATTTTTGATGTTATGGATTTTGAAAACAATTGTTATTAGGATTTCATATTTTATGGGAATGTAATACCCAAAAATTTCGAACAAATTTAAACTTTCAAAACATGTCAAGTTCATCGAAACATTACAACTTTG